CCACCCCTAATTGTACTTTATTGTAGTTTAACGTATTTCACTATACTTTAAAGTACTTTGAAATACTTTAATGTACTTTAAAGTACTTTAATGTACTTTAATGTACTTTAAGGTACTTTAAAGTACTTTAATGTACTTTAAGGTACTTTAATGTACTTTAAAGTACTTTAATGTACTTTAATGTACTTTAATGTACTTTAAGGTACTTTAAAGTACTTTAATGTACTTTAAGGTACTTTAATGTACTTTAAAGTACTTTAATGTACTTTAATGTACTTTAAGGTACTTTAAAGTACTTTAAGGTACTTTAAGGTACTTTAAGGTACTTTAAAGTACTTTAATGTACTTTAATGTACTTTAAGGTACTTTAAAGTACTTTAATGTACTTTACGTACTTTAAAGTACAAAAGTACGATGTTTCCCCCTTGAGTATATTTGTTGTTTGGATATTCATCGTCAAGAAAAAGTAAATCGTTTATTTTAAAAGATCTTGGCATGCTGAGAAAAAAAAGAATAATAACTTTTTAAAAATATTTTCTGTTATTTATTCATATCAGGACACGAAATAATCAATAAAAATTGGACAAGAAATTATCTCGTCAATCCGACTATATTTCTGCTTGGCATTATTGCTGGTGCTAAAAATTTGCAACCATTCTATGAACAAATCGCTACAGTCATTTGTTCAGTCAATAATGATACATTGATTTTCTATGAACCAGTAACTTGAGGTAGTATGCTAAAATTTCGAACAAAATAAAAAAGAATTTTATCATAAATTTTGATTTGTCTATATCAGTTCGATTAAATGGTAAATATTGTGACAGTAGATTTCCTCATGTGCTTGGCGGTGATGATGATCATAATCGAAGTATTCTTTCCTATCATTATTATGTTATAATTTTATCTCTGAAACCCGTTTCAGACAAAAGTGCAATACCACTTTTTTGGTCGAGTTCTTTTTGATAATATTGAACGACAAGCGATATTTCGTTCTGTAAAAATTGATCTTCCTAAGAGGTTTAGATACTGCTGGTGACTTTTTTATAATCATGGGCTTCTTTGTGTGATTTGTTTTGTCATGTATCGACAATAGAATGTTTATCACGTAATTATGCTCGTGTCACTGCTAGTAAACCTCTTGCAATGCATTATGTAAGTATAGCTAGTCAACATTTATTCTATTTATCGTATTATATTGATTCGACAATCAAACAATCTACTGAAATTTATATATCACCAATACATTATCCACAACAAAGCTATAATGTAGCTATCAATAGAGCGTTAAAATGAAATATTGATTGAATACATACTAATATTATTTTTGCTGAACCTAATGAACAGTTTGTAAAAATTAAAGATCACGCTATTATTGGTGTTGTGGATATTCATTCAACTATATGATGATGAATAATGCGGTGCCTTACTTTTTTTTTCTTTCTGCGATGACGATGTTTTCATAAATACAAGCAGAGTAAAGCCCTCGACACGTTACAAGATTTGGGATCCTCTATTCGGTCTTATTGTTTACAAGTTACAAAGAAAGGTGTCTTCTACTATGTCCTTAAGAAAAGTCATCTTTTACACACTTAATAGTAGTTTGCAATTTTAATCCTTTTCTGTTCAATACATCATTGTTAAATGATTTTATTTTATTTTTTTTTATCTTTTACAATGATAGAAAAACAGACAATATTTTAATGCAAGACAAAAAACAAACCATGGGCATGAGAAGTATACCTTCAACAATGCTATTAATCAGACACTAAAAGCTAGGTAAAATTTGTAATAGTGATATTTTTCTTAAGCAATATGATAGATTACTGGTAAAAATGTATCCTTTACTATTGGTAAGTAGTTGAAAGAGAAAGTATTTAGATCTTGCTAATCTACGGTTTTTAAACCAGAGAAAAACAGGTCCCTCTCTTGTGTTGATCGGTGACATTTCGATTTAATTTATAGTTTTTTTAAATACTTTCAAACTGACTATAACTTGAAAATATGCTGCCTCACTCTACGTTCAAGCCAACTGGTTATATTGAACTTTGGTAAGCATAGTTAAAATTCCTTCGAATCGGCATGTATCACAAACTTGGCAATTAGCCATTTGAATCATTTGTATGATGCATGAGAAAATATTTTATAAAACAGAATGATTGAATAAACTATCTGCTATTCTAATGTTTTTTAGACTTACTCCGAAAGATATTTTGATACTGTTACGCAAAAGAAAATGCATTCTCAGTCATAGGATGTGTACCTATTCGGATACGTCTGAGCGTGTGAACTAAGAAGTATGTTTCTAACAAGTAGAAATGTGGTCCTTTGAGCCTTGTACGTGTTCAAATTAATAGTTAAGGATGATTTGGTGAAATGCGCCTTTCAGGAAAATATAATATATTTCCACTGAATATGTTGCTACCTGCATGAAAAAAACTTCTTTGAAATGAAGCATCTCACTTAAATTATGTTTTATAACCTTGGAGGTATATTTTTGCCCAGAAAATACGAAAAACATTTTCAGAGTGTCCTTGAAAGAAACGCTAACGAGTTCTCGGCGAATGCTATTAATAAAGAAATCCTTTTCTACAGTTCTTCTTATGGTCTTTTTTCTCATAAATTGTCTAAATCAGAACTGTCGCACTTCAAAAACAGTAGAAACAATAATGTCCATGACGAACGTATGCATAAATACGTACAAAACTGCCAAAAAAGACATAAACTGTAAGAATCATTTTCAAAAATCGACTATAGAATGAATTTTCGAGTGTGTGGCGGGGGGGGGGGGCTCTTTAATTGTTCTTAAACTTTTGATACCTTGTTTTTTACGAAAAGCAATTTCAAAACAAATGTGTGATACCGAGTGGAATGATGGCGATTTAGTCATTCTCTTTCTTTCATTTAATTATATTGCCGTAACTCCACATTCAACTTGTCCTGTGTTATTGCTGTACAGCATATTAGAGATACTAAAAGAATACGTTTTGTAATATGCAGTGGATTACCCTTTATGCTCTGCATCCCTCTCTAAAAAGTTCATTTCCGTTGAAATTACGATAAAGGCATGAAGGATAGCCAGAGGTCGGATCCTTCACAAACAATCAATTTTTATGTCGGACGCCATTTTTTATCAGCTTCCACTTGAAATATGTTTTGTTGCAGGAAAATTAGATAATATTTTCTGTTTTACTTATTGACAACGCTAGGATTCTCGAAGGAGCTTCACTTTCGCCTGTCGGTTTCTTTTGTTTGAAACAGAATGTGAACCCTTCGCTGCCACTTTTTCAATTAAGCAAAGATCCGCTGAAAGACCGGCAATGTCAGCTATGGGAAATTTTTACATTTTGAACTTGGTTTCTTCAATAGAGCACTAACAACAAAGTCCTGCGAACATCGAAATATTAGTTCATTCGGATTTCCTTACAAAAAAAGGACAGATTCCAATGTTTCAACAATTCAGATCTTACTCAAAATGCTGCAGGTGTGTGCCTGCTATTCACGACATTTAGAACCCAAGAGAGAAAAAGCAAGACTTCCCTATCCCAAACTCCTAGCCAAATACGTGTTTCACACCTATTTCCCTCCGCTTCACAGCCATGAAATCTCCGATTTTCCCCTTCTCAGCGTACGCATTGGTCCCCCACAACAACATCCTACATCCACACCTATTCTCTGCACCGATCCACATCTACAATCTATACGCGTTGTGGGTGCTGACGGTGATAGATAACAATTTTGCCCATCCCAACACACCCACACACCGAAGCTAATTTTAACTAATTAGTTCAAGAGGATTTCCAGGTAGATTTTAGTCACGTCCAGCCAATAACAAACCAATTCCAGTGACGTCCAGACTAAAATAAGTCAATACCAGTGTAGTCGAGAACAATACTACTCGATTGTGATCCCAACTCCAGTCGGTTACAAGAATCGAAATCGATTCAAACTGGAACTGATACATCGCTAATTTCTACTGATAATTATCTCCAACAAAGATCAATTGAGTAAAGTAGTTCACTATTCCACATTTCAGCGTTGTACCTAAAAATAAAGCCTTTGATTCGTCTCTCAGATTTTTCAAAACAAAATTAATTCTTTTCATTCGTTGCAAAGTGCACCATCACTTACATGATCACACTTTATTAGTGCTTCGTCAACACTGTAAATGATAACCTAATATTCTCATACTATGTAATGCTATTTCTTTCTTTTCTCAAATGATATGACAATTTTCAATCTTATCTTTGCCATGTAATGTGAGCACATAAAATATAGAACACATATATAAAGATACCTAACTGCTTCACATTTAACAAGTCAAATTTCCTCGACAAACAAGCATATCATTATTAAAAATAACAGCTATGAAAATAGTCATCGCTCTTTGTGTCCTCTTTGTTGGTGCATATTGTGTACCTGTACTCGATGAACAACTCAATAATCAATGGAATTTATTCAAACGTGTTCATGAAAAACAATATAACTCTGTCGAAGAAGAAGCTAATCGGTATGTTAGTCAATATTTCAACTTCGTATAATCATTTAGAAAGATTCTATTCTTTCTCTCCATTAATCTAGCCGAAACATTTGGGAAGCTAACCTTGCTAAAATCCAAAAACACAATCTTGAAGCTGACTTAGGCATTCACACTTATACTTTAGGAATGAATCGATTCGGTGATATGGTAAGATATATCTTGTTAACACCATGAAATATCATACTATGTATTGTTTGTTTACCTAGACTCATGAAGAATTCAAAACACAAATGAATGGATTCAAAATGTCAGCTAAAACTGAAACAACTGAATTCGATCGTCATACATTCTTAGCTCCATCAAATGTTGCTATTCCAGATGCTGTTGGTATGTTTTTCTTTCATTGA